CCAAAACAGTGACTTCAAAGAGGATGTGCTCAGCCTGTTAAGTTAAAGACAGAGAAGTAAGCTCAGAAGATTATGGTGACTGGTTTTTTTTTTGTTTTTTTTTTTCGGGGGGGGGGATTCCAAAGGTGTAGTCTTAAAGAGATTTTCAAAGAACACAAGACAATCACAGGGGCTTATACTATCACCAAACAATCTTTTTTCCTGATGAGCCTGGGTAAAAGAAGGTAGAAGATGCTGACAGGATGACATGATTCAACAGTGAATGGTTGTTAAGAGGACTAATTGTGACTGTCAAAACTAGGAACTCTATAAAATGAGACACCTCAGAAGCACGAAGGAGGACCTAACTACCATCAAGAAAAGTCAAGAGTGGTGCATGTCCTTTGAATCCTGAGTTCCCTGTTTATTGAACATCCTTAACCTAGAAGAAATAAAAAGAGTGGCAGCAACAGAACCAAGAACCAGAGCATGAGACAGATCTTTAAACGACCAGGCCTATGAAGCAAGTAAAGCTAAATGCCTTTGGGTAAGAAGCTAGTGTGCAGAATGGTGTGCCTCCAGGCACTTAACTGGGGAACTAAGTTTGACAACCCATGGAGCTAGAGGAGAGTGCCTTCAGGCTGTTTTATAGCCTAGTGGAGTGTCCTTTGGGCATTTATCACAAGGTCTAAACGAGCTTTGTAATACTATGTGAGCAAGGCAGAGGCCAAGGGACCCAATGCCAGAAAGGGACCCACCTGTGGGCAAGGCTGAGGAGAAATAAACCTGACTGGAAGAACTGTGCCCTGCGAATTTCTGACCTTGAATTTTAACTTGTTAACTCCTCTAATGCATCCAACTGAGTATGGTGTCTGAATTCTTTGTGGCCACTGCAATCAATTATCAAACCCATTTTTGCAGCTTATTAGAAAGAATTTTTAAGAAAATGGAAAACTGCATTGATGAGAAAAAGGTAAGAAAAGTTGCACCAAGGAATTTTTTTTTCTATCACAACAATGCACCTGCTTATTCTTTGAAGGTTGTCTGTTGAGAATTTCTGTGGGAAACCTTACCCTCTCCATCCTTAAGCCCTGATAGCGCCACTCCAGGTTTCTTTCTTTTCTCCAAACTCAAAGAGAACACTTAAAAGGTACATAATTTGAGTTCCTCAAGGATGCCGATACTGGGTTTCTGGCAAGATGATGGATTAGACAGACACACTACATGGACCCTCTACAATAAAAATACAAGAGACTAAATGAAACAGACACAGATAGAAATCTTGGAACCCTGAACTTCAAAGGAAAGCTAAGAGCAATGTACTGAGTGCTTGCTGGGAGATGCAGAGCAGGGGTGGCAAGAGAGGAAACTGATTAGTGAACAGCTGGCCAGACACAGTATGACCATCCTGTGAGCAGCTTTGGTGGCCTGGCAGAGCTGATTCCTTGGACAACAGGAAAGGTGTGATTCCATTTTTTTGCCAAATGCTTCCCTGGTGACCAAAAGTCTGGCTGGCCCCCACCCTTGCCCATTCCCAGCAAAGACCCTGCTCCCTGAGAGTTCGAAGCCATATGGCTGACAGCCATGCCAGTCTGAGGAGGAGGTCAATTGCGCCACTTTGGTGCACTTAATCAGGTAGGATTGACTCCAGATTTATAGAACCTGTAAAGCCACCACACCAGTATTTAACCAATCACCCTGCCCCCAGTTACCCTGTGATCCTACCAGACACTGAAACTAGCTCCATCAAGGGCCTCCACGAACTACATCAGAATTAAGTGCCCTGAACATAGATAACACCAAGGCTGATAGGAACTCCATGTAGGGCCACAAACTCCATTATCACATCCCTCCCACACCCACCTTGCCATATCATTGACTTTGAGGATTCCCCCAGAATCTTCTCCTCTCCAAGTCCAACAGCTGCACTGTTTTTTTCTGTTTTGTTTTTATCTTTTGTTGTTTTTGTTTGCTTGTCCTTTCTCCTCCTTATTCTCTTTCTATTTTATCCTATCCCCACTTGAATTTTATGCTATCTCCACTTTGCTTTTCCTTTTCTTCAGTTTCTCATTTTCCCTCTCTTTTTTCCACCTTTATATCTTTCTTTACTTTACTATTCTTTACTCTCTGTTTTCATCTTTCCTCTCCCTGATTTAGCGGTGTTTTTTTTTTTGTTGTTTTGTTTTTTTTAATTTCTTTTATTTGCTTACGTATTAGTCTCTTCTATAACTCTATTTTCCTATCCCTGTTTTGTCTTGTAGTTATTATATTCCTTTTTTCTGGTAGCTGCCTGTTTTCATTTATTTTTTTCTCTTTATGATTTTCTTTTTTTCATTGTTGATTCCCAGTTTATTCAAACTTTCCCATATAGCACAGCCAGAACTGAATTCTCTGCAGCTCCACCAATACAAGTTTCTATGCCATCTTATCAAAGGTGATATAGAAGAGCCAATACAAGTTTCTATACCACCTGATCAATGACAGATAACAGCCAACACCAGATGAACCCACCCTAAATTGAGGTGCACGAATGGCAAACAAAAATGGTGTACACAATGTCATTCTCTAACTACACCCAAAGGAGACAGCTGGTGAGCGCCTAAGAACACATCAACATACAATCATCAATTAAAAACAAATATGACTGTTCCATAATACCCCAGAGTCAACAGACAATTTTAGTTCACATGAAGAAAAGACAATAGCTCAAACTAATAGCCAAGATGTGGAGACAGAAATAATTTCTGAGGAAGAAAACGTAATGGGAACTAACTGAAAAAGAATCCCAAAGAATTATATTTAGGTACCTACAAAAGACAGACAGGTCAAGGAAAGCAAGGAGAATATAGCCGAAACTTGAACAAACAGATACAATAAATGCAAATTTTGAAATAAAAAAACCTATAATTAGAAAATCAGAAGATTAATGCTAACATCGAAAGGACAAAGCGGTAGATGTGAAGCAATGGAATCCTGATTTAGTGAACTTGAAGATAAATCTCTTAATACTAGTATGCTAGAAAAACAATCAGAAAAAAGAATGAAAAAATCCAAAAAAAAAAAAAAACCTAAGAGTTACATGGCACACCACGAAGAGGAACTTAAAGGTGATAGGAATTACAAAACAGAAAGAGACAATAAAAAGCACAAAGAAAATTGTCCAAGAGTTGTTTGAAGAAAACTTCCCTAACATCATGAAAGATGAGAAGATAAAACATACAAGAAGGTGAACAAACCAAAACAGAATAGATACCAAAAGAAAATCACCAAGGCATATCATAATCAAGCTTTCCTAAACCAAAGACAAATAAAGAATTCTGAGGGCAGCTCTGGAAACATGAAAAGCTACTTATAAAGGAGAACCAGTAAGACTAAGATCTTATTTCTCAGCAGATATCATGCAGGCAAGAGGGTAATAGGATGACATATTTAAAACTCTGACAGAAAAAGATTGCCAACCAAGAATCACATACTTAGCAAGGTTGTTCCTCAAATACGATGGTGAAATTAGGGCATTTACAGGTAAACAGAAATGAAAGGAATTTGTAATGACCAGACCAACTTGAGATACCCATACATGACAACACCACTCATAAATCAATCCAGATATAAAAGTATTTAAAGTAAAATAAACCTACAAGACTGAAAATAGGGAACCAGATATATCAATGTATAATGAAGTCAACTACAAAGTAAAAAGAGGGAATAGTGTAGACAGAGAATTTCCAAATGGTAAGGAAGTCAGGTATTTCAAGATAAAACCAGTCAGATTTTAAGATAAAACCAATTATTTTATAAATAGAGGGAAAAAACAAATTACACATAACTACACAAAAAAATATATTTTAAATTTAAAAAAGAGGAAAATCAGAAAGATTTAGTAAACACTAGCACAAGAGTAATTAAAATGAAAAGAAAATCCACAAACAAAATGAACTCAGCGCAGAAACTTATGTGGCATAAAGAAACCAGCAGCACCACACACACAAAACAACACACAGTAAAATGACAACCATCAATTCATACCTATCAATAATTACACTGAATGTAAATGGATTGAATGCACCAGTCTGGAGATCGAGATAGCAGAGTAGACAAGAGAATAGCTTCTATTGAGAGACATATAAAAAAGATGGAGACAGCCTAAATGTCTTTTAAAAAAAGAATGGTTAAACAAACCTTGGTATACTACAAAGTGTTGAAGAATAAGGATGAATATGGGAAACATCTCACAACATGGATGAAGCTGGAGAACATTATGCTGAGTCAAGTTAGTAATAACAAAAGGACAAATATTATATGAGACTAATAATGTTAAGAAAAGTTAAGAAAAGGATTTTTTGATTAAAAAAAATCTGATGGTTATGGGAGGAGGGCATGAAAATTATTTAAGGGTTAGACAGTAGAGGTTGTTGTTGTTAAGTACCTTGGAGTCGATTCTGACTCATAGTGACCCTGCACAGGGTTTCTGAGGCTGTAAATCTTTA